GATGTTGGGTGAGGATGACAGCGGTCGTTCGCTGCAAATTTCACTCGCTTCTTAGTGAAACCTCCGTAAAAAGCTGAGCAAAGACGCATGCTCGCACCGGCTGGCCTGGTACGTTCCAGCCTGGATTTTTTGTTGTCAAGCGAAAAATGAATTAGTTTAAAAATCCTTTTCGGTGCGAAAAATAACTCAGAAATTTTCCAGGCTTGCTTCGCTGCCGTGTGAAATCTTAAAAACATGCAATATTAACGTCTTCAGTCCTTTGGTTGTTCGCACCTCACATTTTTAGTGGAAGCTAAACTAAAAATCAAAGAAAGTTTCAGTTGGGCAACAGCGAGGCGGCTGGGTTGGGGACGAGGGAGGGGGGAGGTGACGGGAAGGGAGGGCAGAAGCAGGAAAGAAAATGGAAAGAGGGATTGTTGATTTGGGAGGAAATCCGTGGTTTGCCGGTTTTCAGCCTTTTTTTTTGTTAGTTTGTTTGTAACGGAAATCCCAGAAAGTTTTTTTCTTCACACAGCACGTCATGTCTTTTTCATTCAGCGAAAACAACGTTGTGTGTTGGCCATGTGCGTCCGTTCGTTTGTATATTTTGCCTAACTGCTGAACAGAACTGAAAATTTTTCTCAAGGCTCTGAAACCTACTAGTTTTTCATTTAATCGAAGGAGAACCAATGTGGAAAGAGGTTCAGTCAAAGGCGATGATTTCGAGATGCGGTGAAGGCCGATCTCTAAATTGCTGAGGCGTTGACTTCATGGATAGGCACCACTTTTCACATGAAATCGTATGCGGATAGTCCTATAGCAGGCTTTGCCTTCACTGCGTCCAACCTTGCACTTCTGTGTTTGATTTTTCAAAAAGCACAAAAGGAAAAAGAGGGAAAAAAAGAAACGGAAAACAGGAAACGGTATGCAATAAAAAAGAAAGTAATTGGGTGCACCTAGGAATCAGGCATTGTTGCGACATACTGTTCTTGGTGTACACTGGCCCTGCATCTAGGGAAAGTATTGCTTATATATCGTTACGATACTCTTTTTCAACCCATTTGACGCAAACAAGCACCAAGTTTTCGGATTTATGTTCTGCTGCTTTCAGTGAATACATATACATCGGTATCAGTTTGGGTGCGTGGCGATGCATTTGAA